TAATTTGGATTTGAGGTTATGTTTAAATAATTTAATTTGTTTATTATAAGTTTCTACACATTTAATTAAAAAAAAAACATCCTAAAATAATTAACTGATTTAAGTATTGCTTCAATATTTAATTAAGTTATTATTAATTAATTTAGTAAATTAATTAATTGTTTTATTTACTACAAAGTTTGCGTTTACTGATTATTGTTTGTTTTTTTTTGTTTGTTGCAGATAATTAATTGGGTTTAATTCGAGCCATCATTTAGTATTTAAAATGTTGCGGTTAAGACGGTCGGAAATGACTGATTACAATAACTGTAGGAGTTCGCATTTATAAGAAAGAAGGAAGAGTGGTGAAGAACGACGAGAGATAAAGAAACGGGAAAAAGGATGGAAGGAAATAATATTCGCTCCGGAACAAAAAGTGATAAAACAAGTTCAGAGTAATTTCGCATGTATGCATAATCGTTTTTTCTTCAAATCGTTTCCCTTCCGCGAATTCTCGAATAATTAAGTAATTCCTAAACGGTTTACCAATTCAAGCTCTGACCCATTTCGATTACACTCAAACTGATTATATTTGCTTGAATTTGTACAATTTTATATAATTAATTATTATATAACAAAGTAATTAGTTAATGTATTAAGTGATCTATTTTTAAGTTTTAAATGAAATCTTGAGGAAGATTTGAGTCATTGCGAAATTGGTCCGTTTTAATTTTTTTGGAGGATTCTGCTTAATCATTCGAAGCCGCAAACTAAGTTAAGCTTAATTAAGTAATTAGTTTTAAATTGGATGGAGAGCATGCACCGAAAAGCTAAACGATTAGTCAACGTTCCGAATTTCCAGGATAATAGTGGCCGGCTCGTGTACACTCACGTTAGCAGGAATTACAGAGGAGCGTGTGGGAAATTGGGATGAACTGTTTGCATAGTTGTAGTTGTAATATATAGTAAAGTAGTAGTAATGAGCGGAATTAAGTAGGTAGATTTGCATGGATGATGATGATGGGTGAGACCTTGGTCGTTTTGTTGGATGCGAGGATCGAATTTATTTATTTGTTTCTTGTATTTATGTATTTATATATTGATGAATAGTAAAGGCGCCGCGAAGAGGAGACCGTTCCACCAAAAACCACCTGCGATGCGAAAGACATGCGATGGATTTCCGGGGCGCCAATCCGAAGAATGTCGGGGAGTTATTATGACGGGGAAAATATGCAGCCGGAGAAATATTCCTCGTTTTTTGGCAAAAAACAAGAAGAAGGCGCCTTCGAAACGAAAAGAAGAAAAAAAAGAAAAGGACACGAAGAAGGTAAATCTCCTCCTTCTTCTTCTTCTACATCTCGTTTGGTCTGTTGCCGTCCCGCATCCTTCGGAATCCTTTATCGGTACAGGACGATCGTCGGGGATCCTTTTCAATTGTGAATATGCGAAATGAATCATGCCGATTCGGCGATAACTCTGCGGGTTCCCAAATATTCGCTATCGCGATTCCCTCCCTCTTACCCCTCCACATCGCCTGGGTCACTCTCCCGGACGAACGTCTATTTATTACGTAAGTCGCGTGACTTCGGTGGAGGCGGCGACGGCGGCGGCGATGTTTCGCGCGACAGGACCTCGGACGTTCGACGACAGAGGTCGCCACCTCTCTGGCGACGATCACGAAGAACCGATCGCAAATTACGTAAGAAACAATGAATCTCTTTTAACCTTATCTTAACTTACTATTATTCATCATCTTGAAACTAATTAAAATAGAATTAATTTAATAGAAATCAGAAAAAATAGAATACAGACAAGAATTTTGAAATTTAGTTTGCAAGATTTCAATGAAAGTTTTCAAGTGTTTCGCGAATGTAACAAATTTTACTTATTGTAAACATATATGTAGATTAAAGTGTGCGTCTATAGCTTGTAATTTAAATATGGAAATTGAAGTCAGTTGCGCGGAGAATGAAATATGTAAGTTGTATCCATTGAATATCTCGTTCAATTCTTCTCTTTCTCTAGTAATTATCTTTGCGAATTCGTTGCGATCGATATTAGGTAATGATCGGATTGAATTAAGTTGCGTCAACCTTCGGAGCGGATAAAATCGAAATAAATGTGAACGAAATCCTTGGATTTCCTCCTATAGATAGAGCAATTAGAATAAACGCCAGCCACCTAAACAAGGATCACGTTGTTTCTACAGCAGCCTACGGTGATTAACACCGAGAACGAATTTAATAATAACAATACTAGAAATGAGAATATGCGCTGAGCATACACTAAATATTCAACAGTGTACACATGCAAATTACAAATATTTCTACGTTTTTTTTTTCTTCTTTTCATTCCTTTGGCTGCATCTTAATTTATTCTCTCCTCAAACCTGCAACTTTTCGAGTGTGCCCAAACAATTAGCTTCGAAGCATAACATTCCCAAAGAGACACAGAAACATCTCGCGACAAGCAAAAAAAAACACTATTACTTCTAACGATTTGCTAGCAATGAAAGCGCAACAAAACGAAACTATGCAGAGACGCGGAGAAGAAGTAAATTAAAGTTTAAGAAAAAAAAAAATGAAGAAATTCCGCCGTAATTGAATTAGTTTTAAATTGAAGGAAACAATAATTTGTCGAGAATTTTTATCGCTTTACATAACGATTTTCCACTAATTGTCGTAGTTTCTATTATTTTTTTTTCTTGTTTGCATAGTTTGTGTGAGTGTGTTTAGTGTACAATACGTTACATAAATTTTTAATTAGACTTTTCCTGACAAATTATACCACGTTTATTTAGAAACTCCGTCGTCTCTGATGGAAAAGAATGGTGAATGATGGACAAAGAAAATACGCTTTTTTTATATATTACAAATGCTACACTAAATTACGTTAAATTATACTTCAATTAGCTATAATTATTTATTGAATTAGAAAGAGAGAGAAGAGGAAATCATAATAGTAATCATAACGGTGTTAAGTTTAATTGGAAGACTAAATTTAGTTAATTCAATTGACAAACTTATATATTGATCTTTCGTATTCACAATTTTAGTAATAAATCTTAAGTTTATTAAATTGAACAATGAACACTTTATAACTTGTATACATATACAAAATTTAAGTTTTCGACGTTTTCATCCAGTTAAAACTGTTAAAACATTTAGATTTTCGATAAGAAAGTAATGAAAATGAAGTGATTATTGACAAGACGAATCACGTTTGCTATGGGCGTTTGAACAATTCTTATTGGGCCACGAAAAGAAAGGAAATAAGAGATAAGAAAGTAATAAAAATTTGGACGATTTCGATAGGAAAACGTTTTTTTTTGCGTCGCGATAAAAAAATCAGCAGTTGCAAATCATATAGCTGAACGCTAGACGAGGGATCGGCAACCCCCGACTCTTTTCGTTATTAACAATTCCTATTGGTTCTAACGGTCGGGTCTATACGCATTGGTTGTACATTTTTTTGTTGTTAACGGATGAAATCTTCAAAATGTTTCTTTTTTATCAAAATCTACACCAATCGAAAATGGGCACGAAAATCAGTGCGTTTCCTTCACAAATCAATTTTTTTTAACTACAATTAAACACAAATCTTATTAATTAATCATTAGCATTTTCATTGCTAATTGGAAAGAATTTAAATATAAACTAAAATTTATATTAAAATTGTTAAAGATTTAAACTTTTCATTAAAATTAAATGCAAAAAAGTCAATATTTTAATTGTTTAATTAAAATATTTACTAAAATTTACAAAAAAAAAGCAACATAATTCAAACTTCTAAGAAACTTAATGTTGAATTGTAGTAAACTAAACATTCTATAAAAAAATTACTTTCCAAATTTGTAAAAATTAATTAACTTGAAATAATTGATTTTTTTCGAAGATGATTTGTTAAAGTATTTTCAATTACCAAAAAATGATGAATGGAAATAAGATTTGTTCTTCGATTGATATTTAATATTACACTATTTTTCAGTTACGTAATATAATAGTTTTTCAAATGATTCAATTTCTGATTGGTATTGCGATGAAGATACCAAGAAACACCCGAAGACGTCCGCAGACTTCTGCGATCATCGGAACTGCGAAAACCACCGCTTCCCGTCGTGCGTTATGCAACGAAAACCCGGAATTCGCATGCGGTCTACGCAAATTATAACGCACATCGCTCTAACAACGATTTGTCATTCGTTCTGTTGGATCATCATTCACACATTCATTGATGGTTATTTAAGCGCCAGTTGAGTCACGACCTAGTGGCGCCTGTCGTCTCCCCCATGTATATATATATAAAAAAATTAATAATAATAACAGTTAATTCATCTCCGAAATCTGATTCATTGCAAGTAAAAATAAAGTGCGTAGGTTTCGCAGACCGGAAACTAAGTGTGGAATGTACAAAGCCCGGATTATAGGCAACTCCATTAACGCGCGCGGTATTTTTACGGCTACGCCCGTTCACCAATTCTTCCAATTAATTCGAGGATCCACGCACCAATGATCAACCAAAATCTGTTAATTTAAGAGATTTTAAGAAATATTTAACAAAAAAAAATAACTGTACTTTCTTTTAGCGCGTTCCCGGAAATGTTGAAAACTAGTCCCGTTTCTTTCCTCAAAAGTTAAAACATCAATTAAACGCAGTGCAGAGAAAAGCTAGGGCCTCCCAAGATTGTGATCTCTTTTGATCTCTTCTCTCCACACTCAAGGGCTTCATCTCATTTCATTCTTTTATTAACATAATTAGATGATTTATTGTCTCGATGCGCCTCGAACGTACCACTTTTATCTTGTGAAATAAAAATAAATAAATTTCAAAAAAAAAAATTTAAAAAAAATGGAACTAGTCCACTTCTGTCGGAGTCCTCAACTATTATTTTTTTTAATGTCCGTTTGCTTTCCCTTAAGGACGTTTATTATATTTTTAACCTCTTTTGCCTACAAAGGAATGCCTTCGCCCGAAACACGAGATCTTTTGATCTCGAAACGAAAAGAAAAAAATACACTCACCTCAGTACGTTTCAGTCATTAGAACTCTTCTTTTTTTCTTTCTCTAACTGGAATCTTCTATCAACTTTAACAGTAATTTTTTATTATTTTTTAGATTTAGTTTCTTCAGCAATGAACTCATAAACTACTTATTGCGTAACGTTATCAATTATTTCTTTTCTTCTTGTTGTAGTTAGTGATATTGTTATTGTGATATCAGCAGTAGTTTCGAGTTACATTTGCTTATGCTTCGCGATTTTTAATTTAAGGACGAAAATATACGACACAAACGTACATTAAAACACACGCACAAACACAAACTGAAATTGAAACGCGAATGTGCACAGAGATATTCGTTCGGTTTATCTTATCTGTAACAAAAGTGTTTAGAAAAAAAGCTAATGTTAATAGTTTTTCAGTTAGTACGAAATGCGATATACATGGAGGTTATCATAGTTTAACAGCTGGGAATATCCAAATCAATAAGTTTTAGTTTGAAAACTTTATATCAAATCAATTTACAATCATTTTATATCGGAAATAATTGAACAACAATAGTTAATCAATAATTTTTAAGTTTCTAATAAATTCAAATACTTCTTACGTTACGTTACGTCGCTCTACTTTACATAATGTAATATTAAAATACGAAAACTGAAATCAATATTTTTTCAATTTTCTAAGAAACTGAAGAGCTCCAACAACTAATAACATTTATTCACGTCAGACAAATTACATTCAGTGTACAGAATCAATAACTTTTCATAATAAAATGAGAATACTGAAATCAATATTTTTCTCATTAATTGAAGTGGTCTAATATAAAAATGAACAATTTCATCACAATTTTTCAGAAACTATTAGGAAATTGTTATAAAACTTTTAAATTTTTTTAAATATCTATGAAAAAATGGACAAAAATAAGCACGTTTCAAGGCATTTTTCTTTTGTAATGAAATTCCTTCGGTTTTTTTTTCGCTTCCTTACATAAAATACACTTTTCTTCTCTGCTTTTGCCCGACTGGACTGGACGTCTTTTTTTTCCTGTTACGTAGTCAATAAACTCACGGTTTTTGTGTTTATGTATTTTTCCACATATTGGATTTGTTTACTCAGCTGCTGAGGTCGGAGCCCATGAAACATTTCTAAATGTATCTGACGCACTTGCTCTTGAGACTTCTTCAGTGAACCTTAACATTTCCACAAGGACATTTTCTATATTAATAATGAAAATCGCAATTTGGTATATTTTTATAAGAATCGTTATATAATTATGTATGTGGAACAGTTGTACTACTTACACTTTGTATTCATTACTTATCGCGTTGGAACTATGCGCTAATAAGGGAAAAACCAATAGAACTATTAAATATTATCATTGTTTGTGGCATAAAATGCATTTTTTAACTGCATGTTTATACACAGAATTATGTTAGTATTTTATAGTTTTCAAGAAAAAAATTAACAAACAATTAAATTAAATTTAGATTAAATTAATTTCATTCAAAGAAGCAATTAAAATGAAAAAATATATAACGTTACGTTACGTAACGTAACTTACGGAACTATTGATTACTACTAAATGTATGCACGTAAGTAGCGTGTATTCAAAATAGACCAGGCTCATTAGCAAACCGACCTTCTGACCCAGAAATAGGCGCAACTCCAATACGTATAATCAATTCCGCATTAATCATCATCACTGCATATTAGATGCAACGTAACGTAACGTAAATTATTTAGTTAATAATAAAATGAACGTCGTAACCGCAAAACAATCAAAATTTACGAGCTTCCAAAATACATTCGGCAGTTGTGTTATTGGTATTGATTCACAGTAAACCAATAAAAAATTTATCATTTTATTACCTAACACGTAAATATTTGTAGCAGCGGCGAGATTTGATTAACCGCAGGTCATCAAAAAAAAAAAAAACGTTACTACTCTTTAATGGATGTTTATAATAACAAAAGTATATTTCGCTACTATTGGTAGTTTTCTTTTTTAATAGCGTGTGAAGTAATACAAGTTTTGTTTGATTTATATATAAAAAAAAAATATATTAAAATTTTACTTTCTTCGTGAAATAGCTAATATTGATTGTGCTTAAGTAAACTTTAACTTTAGGTGAATTGTAATGCCTTATTTTTATAGACTTTCAACTAAATATTTGCATTGGAGAGATTTGTTTGCAAACGCAGGTTCAAAAAAAAATTATAGATGAATTAAGCAGTTTTAATAATCTGAAACTTTTTATTGATTTCAGTTGAAAATTCAAAAAAAGTTTAAAATTATTGAATTATAACTTATTATAGTTTCAGTGGTGAAATTAGAAATAATTTATTTTTTAATTCTTAAACACTTTAAATTAATAATCTATCTAATTATAGACAAATATTACGAGATGAGAAATAATTAGGAAAATTTAATTATTTTAAAAATATAATAAGATTATTAATTATATTGATTAGGGTTTAAAAGTCTTGACACCATAAGTGACTAATTTATTTACGGTTTAAGTGTGAATTTAGTTGCTTATTGAGGTCGAGTTATTCAATTTGATAAATGGAAAGGTCAATATTTGAACTTATCAACTGTTTAAGTTATTGATATTTCTAAAGGTGGCGATGATTTTAAATTCAGCTGGTGTTAGGATTACTTCTTCAAATTACTGTGCAAATTCGAGAATTTTCGTAAAACATAAACAATAAGGTCAAAAAGTCAGGTAAAAGTTGATTGTTCTTCCGCTAATTATAAGGTGTATTTAAAAGTACTTTTGATATTTATATATATATAGTTTACATTGCAGCTAAAATAAAGTGGGTAGTTTTTAACGATCGAACGTTTTTTTTTTTCGTTGCAGACTTGAAGGCGCCTCCGTCCATTGATTTCCCGTATTATTAACCCAGATTGGATTTTTTGTATATAATGCTTTATTGTTGGGGATTCCCCGTTTCTGGTAAAGCACGCCAAGGATACTTGGTAAATCGGCACGTGTTCTTGGAATGATGCGAGACAGGTGAGAGGAGAGGTGAGTAGACGTAGAGACAATAAACGTATGGTCGAGTCTGCCCACGATACACACACAAAAAAAATAATATTATGAAAACGTACGCTCATTCATAAAAAATCTATCTCTCTCTAGGAATTGACCATGGGTTTATTATTAAATATCAGCATTGGATTATGTAGAAGTTTACATCATGGAATTTAAACGTTTTGTTTGAGGGTTTCGTAGGGTTTTTAGGGAACGTACCTTCTGGTGACTTCTTTCGAGTTTGTCTTTAAGGTGCGAAAAAATGTCTTTCTCAAATTTATTTAACAGCACAACCGACAGCCACTCTCGGATAACAACTAAGCAGCAGAGCCTTCACTAAACGTGGCGCTTGACACGAATTCCGAAAGAACTCGCACATTCACCCACAGAGACATACGCACATATATGTATGTACGTGAACGTAACAAATACAGATAGAGACAAACACACACCTAGTTGTTGCTGCTGCTGCAGACCAAAGTTGCTTATAATAATGAGTCTTTGGGAGCCGAAGGAATGTACGATTTTCGTGCGTCTCTAATTTGCTGGGCACACATCGCACAGTCGCCCCGACGAAATGTAACAGCTATATTCCAATCAGCTGTTCAATATTTATTTATAGTTAGCTGCAAGCAGAAATTTTCCAGTTTGTTTGTTTTTGTTTTTGTTTTCACTCACTTGTTTTTTTTTCTATAAAATCACTTTGACTATCGCTGTCCGTGCTCTCCCCGACAACTATAACTATATGGGCCCGAGCGACACTTCCACGGTTATGTAATTTCGACTTAGCGTCGGCGTGAGAGACCTTCGGCCGTCTCTTTTCCTCCCACTTGGCTCCTCTTCCTTCTGATCGCACAATAATGCGAACTCTCTCTCTCTCGCACCTCGTTTGCATTTCATAAACATATAAGCGGCGACACGGAATCGCGTTTTCCGCGATACTCGGCAACGTTTTCCAGAATCACTTCTCTCTCTCTCAGTCTTCCTAATTCCATCTATCTGTTTTCTATGACGCTCTTCTCTCTCCTTGAGACGCGAAACCGCAAACAAACAAACTGCAATTAACATCGACCTGCCATGTTTCACTACATCACAAAACCTTCCTCAAAACCTACACCTACCTCGCATTACAAATTACAATTATACAAAACGTGATGTAACCATAACTGAAATGATACCATAAAGAATGCATTCATTGCAGCAACAACAACTCCAATGGCAATAAAACTTATAATTCCCAAAGCAAGATATATCATACACTAATTACTTATAGCGTTCTCAAAGATCAAACGAAACTAATTAATAAATAAGACGATAAATTGATCGTTTATTTTTACGTAAAATTTAAAAGATTTAAAAGTAGCGGCGTGCTTACATAATGCTAATAATAAACATGCGAGATTTTCGTTAAACTTCCTGCTATAAATCAATCCACTCGTGACTTATAGATTGCGCCACGAAGAAAATGTATACATCGACAATGCATTTCATTATGTATTATTCGTAAAGGAGAAGAAAATCAATCGATTTGAATATGGACAATATGGGAAATTGAATTGGATGATGATGATGGTGATGATGAGGAAGAGATTTCTTCTTTGGCTTCTTGCCAAACCGAATGGGAATATGAATTGGCGTTGAATTGGGTCAATAATGTTGTTATGCAACGCATTGGAACGCGTTTGCGGAAACGACATATAGCGAAGCAAAAGGCGAGAGCACGAGAATAGGTTTTTGGCTGTTCCGACGACGATAATTATTTCGCGTTTGTCACGCACCCGGAATAAACGACTACGAGATTCGATGTACCCGAGCCAAAAGTCCCATTCACAGAGCGACTTTATTAGTTGTGACCTTGACTGACAACAAAAACAACAACAACAAGAAAAAACGCACTTTATTTACGTAATTAATATTTTATTTTGTAAGGCAGTTATTACTTGATAACTGTGCCAAATTCCTTTTAGCACATTTCACATCATCATAAAAGAAAAGTTTATTTTAACATCTCAAAAATTATTAGTTTAACTTTTTAATAATGTTATTTAATTATATACAAAATCGATCAAATGATAATAATCAAAGAAAATTACATATTTTGTAGCTGAAAGATGAAGACTGTGGGATGAATCACAAGCAATAAAGTTAAACCCGTGCAGTAAAGAAAAGAGCAGAAAGAGATTTTCTGTCGCTAAACGTGTGAAATGTAATAAATAAGGAAATTAGAGCTGCTCCGACCGTACAGATTTATACCGACTTAACAGAGAGGTTTTCGAGTGCTTTACGACTCATAAAAAAAATATGGTTTTTGGAGAGAGGCGTACGCACATAAAACTTCTAATTGTAGTTGAAAAAAGATTAACATAGATTTACAAATGATTACGCAATTAAAATAATTACATCATTGTGTGTAAAAATTATTGATTGGTAATGTATAAAGATTAAAATTGATGTGTTGATGTTTTATGGGTGAGTATTGGATGGATTTCAATTACGAAATGCGAAGTGTTAAATTGTTAATAATATTCTTGCATTGAGGCATTCTTCTCGAAACAATAATCGTTATCGTTACAGTTTTTTTTCTTTCTTCTTCTTCCTGTTTGTCGTCGTTTCGATGTTCTCTCTACGTCTGCAGGACAATATGCGCGGAGCAGCAACGGACGTCTCAGGAATCTCATTGTTGGCGGAGCATAAAGAATGAATGAAGGAAGAAGACAAGTGTGGTAGGATCAGAAGAAGAAGCAGTAATAAACGACAAAAAAAAAGATGATGATAAAAATTTAAAAGTGAGTGCATTCCATTTTGCATGAAATCGAAAATTAATGGTGATCACAGCAGCAGCAGCAGCATCGTCTCATATTACGGATGAGTCGGCGGTTTTGGCGAGGAGGAAAAGAGAAGAGAGGAATAAAAATAAGAAAGACGACGACGAAGAACACCCACCACCCTCTCGGGTGGGTCGAGCCTAGGTTCTTCATCTCTCCTCGGGAGCAGGAGGAAGAAGTCGAAGAGAGAGCAAATGCAGCAGAGTATATAACCAGTTTGGATGGACCGAGACCGAGGCGTCCAATGAATGAGGGGGCCCATGCCCGTGGTTTCCCGCATCTCCATCTGATCTGCAGCAGATCCAGCCTCTCTTTCGCACGATTCGCAAACCGAATTGATGATATGGGTGGATTCGCGAAAGAGAAACAGAGAAGGTAAGAGAGAAGATTCGGATCCGAATTTCGATAACCAATTCAAATTGCCTTTTATTATTATTGGCCTCCATTTTGCTGCTGCTGCTTCTTCTTCTCCTGCTGCTACTTTTGCTCCTCTTCTTCGGATTATACTGCTGCTCTTCTCTCTGCCCCGATCTTCTCTTCCTCTTTCGGTTTCATCGTCCAACAACAGCAGGAGCCGCGCCATCGTGAAATCCGAGAACCTGAATATCATCGATCAATCAACGCCAAATTTATTATTTTCTCTTCTCTTTTTACCTCCTCTTTACCCTCACTCTCCTCGCATACTTCTCTCATACTCATACAACGTTTAAGACTACTTTACATCATACCACAATACATGAATTTCTTATAATTCATTGTCATTACACTATTTACTTAATTATTTTAACAATGAATTTCTTGTTTGTAATTATTTTCATACAAAAACTTTAATTTGAATAGTGAAGATTTCATTACTATACTTTTCAATTTACACTTTAATTTACATTTTGAAACTGTTAGTTGTAATATTAATATAAAACAAATTCAATTTATTCATTAAAGTTTTAAATTAATATTGAAATTTTCGAAAGCTAAAGACAATTATTAATCCACCATACTTCTATTACCTGAAACTACTCTATTTATTCATTAAATTATAAATTGAATCTTACTTGGAAACAATTTACTTTCACAAATTACTAATTGCAATACCATAACCGGTGCTCTCGATATAATCTATTTATTCCCTACAGTATTTAGTATTTGGTACATATGATATATATTTATATATATGTGAAATAGAAGAAACCGTTTCGCGTTCAACTAGTTTCCCAAGGCGCGAACACAATGAGCGTTCCTGGAAACGAGAGATTTGACGTTAGTAGCTGTAGTAGGTATGTGTTTGTGTGTTTGTGTGTAGAGCTAGTAGCTATAGTCTGTTTGATTTCCACAGAATGTTTTGCCGTCGGATAACGATGATGGTTCAGGCACAGTTAAACGGCCATCTTCAATCGAAATGACTCGAAATAACCAAGAGGTAACGTTGTTTCGCCTCTAATCGGCGGTTCGCAATTAATTAACCGTAACCATAGGAACTGTAAAGGAGTTGTGTGCGCGCTTGTGGTTTCGAGCTTTTTCCTCAAAGCCCGTATGGACTGCTGCAAGAGATAGATGAAGAGACAAAGAGAGAAAGATGGAAAGAAAGAAAAAGGCGATTAAGCATTAAAAGAACGGAGTCGATTAAGGTAATACGAATTTAATAGAAGACTCGTTGATAAGAAAGAGCTAATTGCGGCTAATTGTGGCGAAACAATATTAAGTGACCATAAAGGTTGACATTAATTTTATTTACTGTTACACGCGAGTTAGTTTTAACCGAGCCGCGCGCCGCCTTTTTTTTTGCCATCATCCATCCACTTGTTCGGTTTTTCTTTCCTACTCGCGCATCACTGCTCTCTCAACTTTTGCAATTCTCTATACTCTTTCGATACATTTCATTACGTTTCTTCTTCTTTTTTGTTTTAGGGAGAGAATATAATTAATTTCATCTTCGCAAAGAGAGAGAAAAGATTACCTCTTGCATATACATTTCATTCCACATTTTATTCGTCTTTAATGCGACGGATGATGTTGGAGACGGGGAGGAATGGAGACGGACGACGGCGATATGATAGAAATGTCGTCGCTGACGTAAGTTACCGTATATTTACAACGGTCGTCACTCTTTACGACTCTGGTCGATATAAAATACATCGAGATGCCATCAATCCGTCCATCTCTCATCCATCCATCCGTATCTCATCGAGAGGAGAGTTCGCAAATTGGTCGTGATCCTTGAAACGGATTGCCCGAGAACAATTCGTATTATGTGATTTTTGCCCTTGTTTAATTGTGTTTTAATCTCGGTCGCCATATGAATTCCGGACCGATAAAATTCGTAATTGCCTTAATTAATTATGCCCTGCCCCGGAGACAATGAACATATCTCGGATTGTTGTTGCGTGATGCTTCTTTGATGGACGCTCTCAGATGAGATGCGATGAGATGAGATGAGAAGACACGTCCAAGGGTAAAAAGATGCTGCTGCTCTATCTCTTTCTTCTCATCATTATCATCTTACCTACCAACATCAATCCCATATAAATAAACAATCGTCGGGCGGGCGCCGCTTTCTTCAATCTATACAATTCATCTCCGTGCAGCATCATCTCGGTGGGTCCCCTTCGGTAAGGCACCGTGAAGCGGCGATTTGCATCTCGCGTTTCATTATATAATAATAATAATAACGCATTACGATTATTGCTGTGTTTCGATACGTTTTTCCGTGCGAGGATCGCATTATTATTATTATGGGATTAAGGAGAACGCGCGATTGCGTCCAGCTTCTTTGAAGGACAGTTAAAGCGATCGCCGCCAATCCAGAAGCCATTAAAAGCGCAAATAAAACTCTCCGTTCATTCAGATTATTAATTTTCATATACATATATATAATTCTTTTTTTTTCTTGCGCCTATAAGGAAATGCTCTTCATCTCACTCTTTCTCTCGCTCCACTCACGAATCCAATAGCTCCTTCCTTCAATACATTATTTATTCGTGAGCTTCGCGTGAAACCATTAATTTTTAAAATAGACTCCGGTTCTCTGTAACGTCGATAATGGTATATGTGTGTGTATGAAAAGGAAGAAAAGAGAACTGTTCGACCTCTGCATTTTATTTAGTAGTTGCAGTGTGTAGATTAACTTGAGGGTAGTTTTGTAGTGAAAAACGGATCCAGGTCGACCGGTGGTGGTTTGCATGTTTTAGCCCTCACAATCGATACACTACCGGCGTGTTGTGCATTACATTAAAAATAGAACGAAATCAAAGATTCACAACAATACAACGCAACAGAAACTTTATTACCTAAACAATCGATGCTTTCTACGTGATTTATTGTTATATAGCAGGGGTGGCCAGACTTCTTGCAACAAGAGCCGCACCTAAACTTTTTGGTATAACAATTTTTGAAAAATCTCATTCATAATATAAAATATATATAATATTTGCGTTTTTTGTGGCCACAACTTGAAGAGCCGCATGAGGCTCGCGAGCCACAGTTTGGTTATACAGTGATGAACTATATAGTATAATTTATTGAAAATTAGTAATCACTTAATTGCAAACAAATGACGATTTTATTAATACAAACTATTATTTTGTGCCAAAATGTTAATGTTCATTTATTTATTCTCATTTCAAATTTACTCGTACGTTTGTTGCAATTAAATGTAACGTGTAAAATATGATAATTTATAACGCGTTATATAATATATATGAATGTGTATAATGTGAATATTTCGCGCAGCAATTTGTACGTATGAAATGAATGTTTCTGACGCGTCAGGAGGATGCGACTCGGAAAATGTCGTAATGAGCGTATCAGATTTCACGTTACCATAGAAACAAGCGTTTAATAAGCGTCGTCGTCGTTGACGAAGGAGGCTGTTAAACAAATTGTAAATAATGACGGTCGTTATAGTTACGAGTCTCTCGGCTTTAAGTAGGCTTTAATTAAGGTGTCGTGGTCGAAGCTGAATGGGGGTGTACTTGAAGTGTACTCACCTACAACAGTAAAATCTTTATTTTTTTTTCAATATATATATGTTTTTTTTGGAGACGCCGTTACCGGAACACTCTCACCGCGAACACTGAATTCAATTTTCTTTTTATTAATTTGAATACCACCATTTCGACGTGCCCTTCTCTCTCTCCCCCTTTCTTTTTCTTTCCTTTTATTTTGTGTGTGTGTGTGTGTTTTTGTTTCGGGTTCGGGTAACGAATACAAAACGGTACACGCAACGTCAGTGTTCCGAGAATCGCTACTTCTTCCACCACAAAAGATGATGCTGCCGTTTGATGGTGATGATGATGATGATGATTGATGTGCCGCGCGAGCCGCACATTGACCATCCCGCACGCCCAGACGCACACACACACACACATTTACACTTGATGTTTGTATATATGTATGTGTATAGACACACACACACACAAAGATCACTCTGAGAATTGATATTTATTATATATATTATATAATTATGATATTTCCGGAAATATGGTGCGGAATTCGTGGAAAACGCATCGGATTTCTTGGGAATGCCGCGCGAGGTATTCTATTTCGGGCGCGCGGGGTTCGTTCAATTATTTTATAAATTAAAGTTACAGCAACAAAAAGGCGCAGAAGAAATCTGTTAGCACCTTCGTCGCTTTTCTCGGAACTGTCGAATCAATCAAGCAAGTCTCGATAGATTTCATTATCTTCTTACAATCCAATTTTTTTTTTCATCCTCTCATCATAAACGTCTTCGTCGCCGACTTCTTCTTGCACTGATGTTGCTGTTGCTTCTGCAGCTGGGGGGATCTTTAACCTTCGAAGGCCATAAATCTTCTAATTAATAAACCGGAGATCCGTATAATTGAGAGTTTATGCAATTGCTGGCATAGCGTTTCAATTATGGTATAGGTGGACGAGGTCCGCAGATGGGGGCTGTTGCTGCCCGTTTATCGCGCAGGGACGTAACCAGCCCACGATGTCTTCAGGGAATGTTAGTTATTTGGTTACTTCGGTTTGCAGGATGATGAAAGATGCTTGGTGGGTGGGTGGTTGTTCGGACTGCTGTTGTTGTACCGAATGGTGATGGGTGGTTGCGGATGGATGAGACCACCCTTCTTCTGGTTACGTCCCTGGTTTGCGGCAGGATGAGCGGAGGAGGAGGAGAAGGAGGAAGACTACGGGCATAGCGTACTCTCTCTTCTCTTCTCTTCTTCGGTGGAGCATAGCATAGCGAGGAGCTTTTTTGCAATATTGTGCATAAGCTCCGATGGCGGCCAAATATGTCTTCGTGTGCGGGGCCCCGTCGAGCCGCCCAGGACATTTCTTGCATTCTCCGGATATTGACGAGGTTTTTACCAAACGTCCGCTTCTTTTTCCCTCGTCATGCCAAGTCCTTCTTCCTCTCAGCGATGCCTCCTTTTGCAAAATTTACGACAACTCGCATAGCTCCGTGGCAATTTACTCTCCTTTCGTTTCTTCATCCCGTCTCGGCTATCATCTCTTCGGCAGCTTGCTTGTTGCTACATGCGGACGAACATTCGCAAAAATATGCCAACGCGACACTCCGTTACACTTGCCGAAGAACTCTTTCTCTCTTCACCAACGTCCATCCGAATAGAGCCATCAGAAATCTGCATTCCCCCCGTTTCCAAATTACTCCCATCATAAAACATCACAATCCAAGTTAATTCCAAACAAATTTTAAGAAAATAAGCAAAATTTACCTAAAATTCCATCTTCAAATTACGTATTCCAATTAACATTTGTGATTGTAGAGTAATTAAACAAAATTTAATTAAGAACCAAATCAGTATTACAAAAAATCTCAAATACATTAAATGTACACAATCACAAATTATATTGAAGTTTGTAAGAACATATGTAGTACGTATCAAAACATTTGCACTGCGTGTTTTATTGACTAATAATAATTAAACACTTCTTTACAGTCGTTTTTAATTACTGCTTAAACCTTCAAAATTATTGCGCACTCCTTCAGGTAACTATAGTAATCAAATGTGGTTGCTATAGTTACCAAATTACTCTCATCATAAATCATCCAGATTCCAAACACAAAAATCCCCATATATTAATTTCATCGCAATCCAAGTTAATTAATCAATCCAAAGAAACAAATTTTAAGAAAATAAGCAAAATTTACCTAAAATTCCATCTTCAAATTACGTATTCAATTAACATTTGTGATTGAT